CTTGTACATGGACTTGTGTCTCTTAAATGTTTATATTTAATTATTTTTTTGTAATTTTTCCCACAAATCTTTTTATTTCCATGTGTTGCTTTTACATTTCTCTGTCTCCTGTTTTTACTTTACCTTATGAATTTCTGCCTCATTGTGCAAACAAGATGGGCGGGGCTTCTAGGAATAGCTCCTCTCTTATTGGTCAACAGACAGGAAGTAGCAGGATCCACGTGCAGATCTAATGTGCATGCTTGTCCTGTCTCAGTTTAGCTTAAAGGAAAAACAAAAAATATATTTTTAAAAACAGTAAAATTTTTATTTTTTGATAAAATATATAATTTGTTGGAATTAAGCTGGAAAAATAAATATGAAAGTCAATCAAATTATAAAACGTGAGGTCAAGTTCTCCTTTTTTAATTTAAATGGTGCATTTTAAGCGTCTTTATTTATTTATTGGTCCATTTATATATTTCTGCTTTTATTTCTAATTGTGTCAGTGTTGGTCCTCCATATTTAAACCCTTTCACTTTTAAAGATTCAGCCTTTATATCTATATAATATCTGTCTGGCTCCACTTCTATAGGGTGAACTATCTGCCTCCTCTTCTCCATCACCACCACCTCCTCCTCCTCCTCCTCTTCTGTCTAAGAGCTCCAGCCCATACCCTGCGGTCCACCCTGTCCCTGACCCCACCATCCAGACTGGTTTCTCTCCTGAACATAAAGACAAGATCCCCTCGTTCTCTCCTCCGTCTTACACCGACTCTGAAAAAACTGAGCAAACCTCTCCTCTCTGCGCCGATTCCTCCCCGTCCAACAGCGACCCTCCTCCTCTTGTCTCCTCATCTCACACCCATGAGAGTCGGAACGGCTCCGCTTATCACGACAGCGAGGGGATAAACGAGGGTTCGCTGAGTGAGCTGGAACATGAGAAAGCTCATGGAAATGCTCAGGAGTTGTTTCAGAATAAAACTTTAGCTGTCAAAGATTACTTGAAGGTAACTCTTCTCTAACTCGGGTGGGTTTTTTTTTATTTATTTGCAACTAAACACAAAAACAAAAGCTTAAACCTACGACTAGTCACTTTGTGCAGCAGATTAAAGAGCAGGTCGGTGAAATATTTGAATGTTCATTTAGTGTTCTGGGAGCTGTGACGACCTGTGCGCCCGAAGAAACGCCCCTAAGTCAGTGGTCCGCTCTGAGAGTTGTCCCTCTGCAGCTCCTGGTTACAGTAAAGAGGTACAAGTCAAAACCTCAACCTGTTTCCCTCTTCTTCACTTTCATTCTTTCTGTGATTTCCTCCTTTATTTCCCCTCTCGCGGCTGTGACGTTAGCGCACAATTGGAAAGGTTTCCTCAGCCATCGATGCTAAAGCTCAGGTTCTGGCCATCCTTTATGAGACAGACCACAGGCCCGGTGCCCCACCGGTAAGATGCATGGGTGCAGAAGGAGCTAACCCAGAACTAACGGCGCTTTGAAATAACGAAGGCACCAGCTTTGCTACATGTGATGCTAACCCTAACCAGGTGTGGTTTCAGGTTTATTAAATGTTTAACCCCGCCTCCTCAGTGTGTGGGACGTAAGGAGCTGCCTCCCGGGCTCGGCGGCAGCGACGTCTGCCACTTCTGCTCCAAGAGGGTCTACGTGATGGAGCGGCTCAGCGCCGAAGGCTACTTCTTCCACCGCGGCTGCTTCCGCTGTCATGTCTGTAACTGCACCCTTCGTCTGGGAGGCCACGCCTTCCACTCGCAGGAGGGTGAGTTTCATTCACTCTGACCTGGAAGTGAACTCTTCCTCCTCCGTTTCCTCCTTTGCTTCGTTTAATTTTACGTGCAGGACTCGGCTGACTGGAAGTGTTAACGAGAGATTTGTTGTGACTTTCTTTACAGCCAAATTCTACTGCAAGATGCATTTTTCCCAGCGCCAGTCCAGCTCTCACCTGGGCGGTGTTCGAAGGGAAACGGTAAGACGCACAGGAGAGGCTAAAGACTGAAATAAATGAATAAAAACAATAAATAGAATAAAATAAATTAAAAAAGGAATTTGGTGTTTTGAATCTGAATTAAATTGCTTTGAAACTGTATTTTGTTTTATTGTAAAATTCAATTGGAACTACTTCCAATTTTAAATTCTTCAGTTTCAATTCCAAACCTTTTGTTTTTGTGTCACACATCCTGGTCCTTGATAAGATCAGAGTAATCAAACACAGATAGACAGATTTAAGTTTCACTTTGGTGAAACTGCCTTTCTGTAATTTAACAATCGTAAAAATTGACAAAAAAAGATTGTTAAAATAAARCAAACAAACAAAATAGATAAAATTTAATAAGAATTGTAAGAAACGGTAAAATAGATGGATGGATCTATGTCTGTCCCATTTTCAGCTCTCTGCATTATCTGCGGCTGACCGTCACCCGCCCCCCCTCCGCAGTCCGCACACACACACAGATGGTGAAGTGAGGAATTATAACCACACTGAAACGTGATTGCACTCAAATATTTAATTTCACTTCGTAATCAAAGATATTAGATCAACTTTATCATAAGCTTTCTTAACAGTAGCTATTAATGATGTTTCTGCTGTCAAATAAAAAGACTAAACCAAGTTCAATCTTAAATAAAAGTTCACACATCTCCACCCTCCTCGTCAGACCACCCTGACCCACAGACCCCTCCCGGACAAGATAAATTTCAATGCAAAGCACGCCATTAATAAGCTGTAAAGTTCACTTTTTAAAGTCCGCTCACGCGCGCGCGCGGTGGGGGTACGGTCAGTCGCAGATGACAGTGTGGAGGGGAGTGATGAAAATGGGCAATTGCCAATTGTTGTTCTATTTTTTTTCCTTATAT